CTAAAGAAACCCGGAAAGGAAAACTACACAATCGCGAAAAGCTCGGAGGCCCATCTCGTTACTGGCCACCCTAGGCAAGATCCTGAAATCGGTAATAGCAGAGAGGATGTCTCACGCAGTGGAAACATACGGATTGCTACCCACCAACCACTTCGGAGCCCGCAAACAACGATCTGCCGAACAGGCCTTGATGGTGCTTCAAGAATACATTTACATCGCATGGAGAAGACGCCATGTCGTGAGCTTGATTAGTTTCGATGTGAAGGGAGCCTATAACGGAGTATGTAAGGAGAGGCTGCTGCAAAGATTGAAAGCACGAGGGATTCCAGATGCCCTGCTCAGATGGACTGAAGCATTTTGTTCCAATCGCACAGCGACTGTGCAAGCTAACGGTCAGACCTCTGAGGCGCGGGACTTGCCACAGGCTGGTCTACCACAAGGGTCGCCGTTATCCCCAGTCCTCTACCTATTTTTCAACGCGGATCTGGTCCAACGGCGCATCGACGCGAACGGAGGAGCGATAGCATTTGTTGATGATTTCACAGCCTGGGTGGCAAGCCCGACAGTACAACTCAACCGGGCCAAACTGCAAGACGTTATAGACAACGCCTTGGATTGGGAGCGCAGAAGCGGAGCAACGTTCGAGGCAGAAAAACGGCAATCATTCATTTTACGAAGAATAAAAACAAAGTCTGCGATGACCCCTTCACAACCAAAGGCCAAGATGTCCATCCCAAGGACCACGTCAAGATTCTGGGGCTGGTTATGGATTCCCGGCTCAAGTATAAGCAACACATCGCAAGAGCAGCGTCGAAAGGTCTAGAAGCGGCATTGGAACTGACGAGACTGAAGGGACTGACTGCGTCACCGCCCGACAACTGTTCTCGGCCACGGTTGCCCCTGTGGTAGACTATGCCTCGAACATTTGGATGCACGCCTACAAGGACAGGAACATGGCACCCATCAATCGCGTCCAGAGAGTGGGAGCGCGGGCGATCGTGGGATCATTTCTCACAGTTGCGACAAGCATTGCAGAAGCGGAAGCGGCTATCCCGACCACGCGAGAGCGGCTTTGGAAACGAGCGATAAAACTTTGGATTGACATTCACACCTTGCCAAAAACAAATCCCCTTCATAGGATAACAGCCCGTGTGCGGAAATTCTACAAGTCCTATCGGTCGCCTTTCCACCAGGTAGCATGCAGACTAAAAGAGGTACCGCTAAAGGAAATCGAATCTATTCAAGCATTTACGCTGGCGCCATGGGACAAACGAATTGAGGCCATTCAATACGAAGACATGGGCAAGGGGATTGAGGGAACCTGGGACGTCGGTGTGGCTGTCAGCAGCTCGGCTCGTAACGGTCTGGTCGGCGTGGGAGGAGTGACTCGGATAAAGGTAAAAGGCAGGGCGGACGCAAGAAGTGAAGCGTTTTCCATCACCCTGGGACCGAGAAACGAACAGAACCCGTATTCAGGCGAAGTAGCTGCAATGGCACACGCCCTGAGAATGCTACCAAATGTCCGCCGCCGGCGTATAGCACTTTTAACGACGAACAAGGCGATGGCCCTCAGCCTTCGAAACCCTCGACAGCAGTCAGGCCAGGAACACATCCAAAGCATCTATAAAGAGATCAATAGATTGTGGAGGAGGAGGAACGGACTGCTCGTTGTTTGGATACCTGCCTCCGAGGACAATATGCTGTTGCAGTTAGCGAAACGAGAGGCTAGGAAGGCGAGCGAAGAAGGAGCCACGGCAGACAAGCGATTCCCTGGAACGAAATCTACCATCTTCAACCTCGAGAAGAGGAAGCTCAAAGCTGAAAGAAGCTTACCAGGAGATGTAGGCAAGCACTCGAAAAGAGTGGATGCAGCCCTCCCTGGTGAACATACTCGACAGCTGTACGATGACAGACCCTGGGTAGAACGTAACGTATTAGCGCAGATGAGAATGGACATGTCAAGGCTCAACAATTCGCTCTATCGAATAAAGGCAGCACCCTCCAGGCAGTGTGCCTGTGGACACGAAGCAGAGACGGTAGCTCATTTCTTATTCCGATGCACAAGATGGAGCACATACAGAACAGAGATGTACAAGTGTACCGAAACGCAGGGAGGAAACATGTCGTTTTTCTTGGGAGGAAAAGGACCAGCAGACGGGTCAAAATGGACACCAAATTTGAGGGCGGTACAGGCAGCAATACGCTTCGCGCTAGCTACCGGCCGTCTCGACAACAAGCAGATCGCACAAACTACGACAACCACCTACCACTAACTCATCACTTTAACCCTATCATCACCTCGTGTTACACACAGCAGACACCGCTTCAGTCGAAGTCTTTGGCGGACTCTTCTTTGGATGCAGTTTGGAGAGGCTGCTGTGTTTCGTGGCTATATTTGCGCGGCATGAGTACGGGGCGTTGGCAATTCCCAAGCAATCTGTTCGTCCTCCTCAACCGGGTTGGAAAGGTCTTTGGCGGGAGCTGGTACTTCAACTTGATACACTTGATGATAGGCCGTGGCGCTGCCTCGGTGGTGCGTTTGGCCAGCGGGTGCGTGTGGTCCAGGGATTTGATGCGCGCAGAGAAGCGGAGTTATCTTACCTCCAGCAGTTGGTGAACCGGAGGCATACCGCTTTCTTGGTGCAGGACAGCGATCGGTGTGGTCTTCCAGAATGGCTCGGATGGCCTGCTTGAGCATTTTCCGCACAAGCTGCTGGGTTCTAGATGGTCCTTCCTTCGTCGGCTGTCTCCCGCGTGGCGCGGTTGTACCTGGATACCAGGCTTCTACGCCGAAGAGCAGAATCGGCTCGACACAGGCTCTGACGGCCCTCTGCACAGCGCTCGGCTTGGGGCCGCGCCGTGTGTTTCCTAGGCTCGGAGGTGGTGGGCGACCGCCTGGGCCTTGGCTGCCCACTTCTCGACATGCCTTGAATGTCAACTTCCTGTCCAGCCAGAGGCCTAGCCAGCGCATGGCGGCCTCAGGTTGCTTCTCCACGTCACCATGGCGGACGGGCAGCACGGTTTCCCGCCTCCTCGGTGAGAAGTGGATGACTTCTTGTCTTCTCTGGGTTTCTTGTCTTCTCTGGGTCGAATGATGTGCCGTTAGCGGCGCCCCAATTCACGAGTTCTTGAAGATATTCCGACGCTATTCGCGATGTTTCTTCCAGCGACTGTCCAGTGCAGAGAATGGCGGTATCGTCTGCGTAGCCGAACCGCCCCTCAGGCTTGCCCATCCGATAGATCGGTTCGGTGTAAAGCAAACACGAGATCGGAGACACGGGCGATCCTTGTGCAAGGCCGCACTGCAATGGCGTCGTCGGTGTCGTGATCTCTGCCTTCCACCCTCACAACCAGCTTCAGCCTACCGGCTTCACCTAAATTTCCGAGGCCCTGCTGGCCTCGGCCATCAATTTTTTTTTAATTGTCAGTATAGCGGTTCCCAGCGACCCCTGCATTCCCCAGCTATATGAGGTAGCCACGCTTACGGTGACCCCCACGGTAGGACTTTTTACGCAAGCCCGGCCATCCTGGCCTTCGGTCATAGATTCACCTGGGTTCCCAGTTCTTTCTTGAACATTCCCGCCAGGTCTTTAGATTCAGATCAGCCGAAGGTGCTCTAGAAAGGTGCGCGTCCACTGAGGTCTAGCCCCTGCAGTGGATTTTTGCCCGACAATACCAGCCACGTACACAGGGGCTTGTTCAGTTAGTTGGTAATACTCCTCGAACTTTAACCAAGCGAAGTGAAAACGCGCATAGAAGCGTGGGTTACTGGAAGCCTTGTTTTTGGTCTGCGTGAAGTGATGATGGAGGAAATCCATATGCGAAAGAACTTCGTCGAGCGTATTTTCTCGGCCGTGACGTACTGAGATCTTGTGGAATGCCTGTAAGAATGCATGAATATCTCTGAGTTCGTTCCAGTCGTTGTGGAGTTTGCCTAGAACAGGAAACTCCCGCCACTCGGTAGCTTACGCCTTTGTGATACTGCCTCTTCCCTCTTTTTGGGATAGCTTGCACAGCCGCTCATAGGCTTCATAGATTCCCTCTTGCTCATCCTCCTGGATCTCGTTTGCCTTGCTCCGAGAGACCAAGGACTAAACGATAATGTTCATGACGTGGGCACTACAGTGTAGTCGCTTGGCAACCGGATCTAATCCCTCAATCTCTTTTGCAATACAGTATGGTATCGTTAGCATCGTGATTGTCTATCGTGAAGTAGCCAACTTTTCCGCTGAGGCCGTACTAGTCGATAACTTCCAGGAAAGTCTTGGCTTGCAATTCGTAATTGGGCCGAAGTATTGGGTCGTGACTTGTGCCCACTTCCAAGGCTCGGTTGTGCCAGCCACATTGTCAAAATACTCCCACCCTGCAATCCCTCCAATTTGGCCATATGTTTTCCTTAAAGAATCGACCGTGGCATTCAATTGAGAGTATAGGTCTTTGCTATGACCGGGATAGACAAATTGCCCGGCAACAACCCGAGATGGCTTGAATCCATTTGATACAATATCGTCATAGTCTGCTGTGGTCGTCATGCTGCCGAAGCCGTTGTAAAACTGACCGTTATAAAAGTCAATCTTACAACCCTTCCGCGATTCTAGATGCCCGTAGTTGAAGCCGCTCAGATTCCTTCCACCCTTAAGGGCAGAAGTCACAGGTGCTAGGCTGATGATGAAACTAGGTCCGAAATCGTAGTGAAGCCTATCAATTAGGCGCTCAATACCAGCTTGACTCATGGGCTGTTCAACATCTATATCCAAGCCATCCAACCCAAGCTGCGCGAGACACCACGAAGTTGATCGCAGTATTTATCAAGAGTATTGCTATTTGCACAGATATAAATCTCTATTTGCACAGATATGTGTCTCACCTTTGACTCACCTACCCCACCCTGGTCACCATCAATTTCTGTAAGGAATGTTGCGCAGCGTAGGCGCAAACTTGTAAACAGCCGGCATCGTTCAAATTGATCGCGACAGCACACACAGCGACATACACGGTGACACATACGACAACACACTGTGAAACACACGAGGTCATCAGAACATTGAACCACTTAAATCAATTTAATTATCATATTGTTACGGAATGCTTGGGTTCTGAAACATTACAACGTCCACGTGTCCTGCCAGCTTCCTGTCCCTGACCCATGGGTGCCGCACACCCTCTTCCTCTCTATGACGGTATTTCAGTCCTTCAAACCACACTTTTACCGTGGGCCATCATGGTGCTGCAGCCGATTGCATTCCTGGGATGATAATACAACTCTCGGCTGACGACTCTCGTGACGCTTGGACCTGGTTTGCCGGCGAGCTCTCGGCCTGTGACGCCTCCGCACGACTTCGTCCTGCAGCCACGCCACGGACTCGTCGACGCTTGTTGCCTCGCGACGATTGCGACACAAGTGACTGTAGCTCGTCAAGCTCGAATTGAGAGCGGTCACGGCGAATGCTCGCGTTCATTCGGCGCGTTCCTCGGCCCGCACTCTGACTAGGCTGTCGGCTCAGACCACGGCCTCGGGCTGGATACCTGCCTTGACTCCGTTGTGTAGGCTTGGCTTCAGCATCGTCATCGTCCGTATCGTCGGCGTCACTTCCCGGCTTGGAGGGGTAATCCGCGATCTTGAGGTATCGTGGGACCTTGAGCTTCTTGTTGTCGGCATTCACGCGCGGCCTGCCTCGTGCGCTTATGACAACAGCCGGGTCGCGAATATCGAGTAGCTTATCTTCAGCGTTCTGGTAGGCTGTTAATACTAAAATCTTGTGACGGTGTCAAGCCGACATACCAACGGCTTCTCGAGCCACCAACGCATAGCAATCTGGCTCC